ATTAAATTCTTGTAAGTTTTTACGTGGGCCATTTCCAAGATAATATTTGACCAGCGGATTTTATTATTGAACAGAAAACAGACTCAATAAGGCCCATAGAAAGTGGTGAAACCCAATTCCTCCTCTGTTCGAGGAAAAGCCCAACGAGACGGGTCATCAAGCAAGTCGAATAGATCCGATTGAAATATGGATCCCTTGGTGAATCATAATAACCCCATCCTGTGGAAATTCACATCAATACATCGTCAAGTACGTCAATAACCTACCGATGGATGTGAAACAGTTCTTCTGTCATCATTTAATACTTGTAAAAAGAGAAGTGATATATTGACTTACTCGGTGATGTAGGATGATACATATGTAATTTTGCTTACCACACGTTCAGAATCATCTCAGAGATTACAGGTATTCATTCTTGAATCTACTTGTTTTTGACATGATAAAATGTCGAATACTGTCTTTTTTCTAGGCATGCGAATGTAAGATAGTATTGAAGTCCACGAACTCATATCTGTTAGGATTCGCATTGAGGCTGTTCTTTCTTAAGTCAAACATTCTAAGTACTCGGAAGGTGGATTGTGTGTTGAGGATTTGTCAATAGACCGCCGGCTACAACAGAAACCATCATTTACTTCAAATCAAAGACAAGATACAGTTGTATCTGTGGGAACTGGAGCTCCCTTTGGACTTTGGCATTTCATGTACTGCAGTATATGCCTAGATCAATACATTTCATCTGATTTTTTTCACCTCCAGTAAAGTCACATACAGCAGAAAAGGTAAAGTCATGAATCTCCCATGGGATTATTAGCTTGAAGACTTATAATGGATACTCGAATCAAAATGACTGCAAAATGTGTGTTTGTTTCTGATGATTAATTAATGTGGCAGGCGATGGCGATAAGGATAGGCAATCAGGTTTGCCAGAGCGTAAATGATGCGGAGATTATGTATATTAATGTACTTTTTGATCTTACTACATTATATTCACCAAAATCTTGTACTAGCATATCACACCTTTCTCTTTGTTTCTCAAATAGTAAGACAATAATTTTTCTTAATTTATTGGTATTGTTGTAGTACCCTTGAGAAAGCTATTTCATGTTTAATGCTTCTTCTGTGAGCTCTTTGTTGTTGTTATTAACCCGACTGAATAGTCAAAATTTTATATGACGGAGACAAGTTTGAAAATTATGAATACAGAGAAGCCTTTAAGGTTTTGATGGAATGATGGAGACTGGAGTTGGTTACTGAGGAGTATGGGTTGTGCAGTGTGGTTTCAGTTTTATATTATCCATTTACAAAATAAATACCTAAACTTTAATTCTTGTCCACCGCACTCTCTGGTTCTTCAGTCTTTTTTTTGACAAGTTTTTTATTTGAGTATCAGATATGTTATATCTTATGACTTGGCGCTTAATCGAATCCAAGGAATCTAGATAAATGCACTTGGGACAACATTTGAATTTGTTTTATCTTCTCTAGACACTACGGATGGAGGAGGATTAATACAGTGCTTCTGATTAAATGCTCTGCTTAAATGCATCTGTATTTAATTACTAGTAATATACTATGACCAAGGTAAGCAACATATACACATTAACTACGAAGGAGTATATAACTATTCGCCATTAAATAGGTAACGAAGTGTGAGTATTTCTCGGATTCTCTCTTCCTATATATCTTGCGAGACAACGATTTCACCATATACATATCTCACAAGTTATCACAGCAGTCAACCGGATGGTGAATCCTACGGGCTTAGGAAATGCTTAGAGAGAATGAGTGTGTAGCCTTCGCTCTATTTTTTCTTTTCAAAATATATAATATAATTAAACTATATTTTATTTTAAAATAAAAAATAGAATGATGCACAAAAACTAAATATAATACTCTATTTAAGCCTATTTTTATTCCAAAGTGAAAAATAAAAATGATTGAAACATTTTTACTTCAAACTCTATTTTGAATGAAAAATATATTAAGATTGGAATGCTCTAAACAAGGACAGTCAAAACTGTATGAATGGTATCAGCGCTACTTTAGCTATCAATAAACATATAAAACTAATTCGTTTATGACTAATATCTTGAGACTGAAATGTTGAGTTGGGATTTTTTGGTTTATTTTTGAAAACTAGAAAAAAAACAAATGTTAATTTTCTCCAATTTAAAAAGTAAGTTATGCGCATTTTGCAATAGTTAAAAAGTCAATATAGGAAAAAAGACTAGCAAGTACAAACTTATGGGTAGACGAGTGGTGATTTGATGAATATCAGTCAAACTTCATCAACTTTAGGAGACTAAATGAAAAACAAAAATAAATTAAAAAGTTAATGTTGGCCACTAAGCTTAACTATGATTATTAATCACACCTTTTTATTACTGCAAAACACTCATGTTATTTACTTACGAGACTACCCCTTATCTCTCTTCAAACTAAATAGGCTCTTTGGTAATTTTAGGACTTGTGATCTAATTCAGCCATTGACTTGTGTGGACATATTTCAAAAATAAATCAAAAGCTAATACTATTCTTGAGAGGTGTGAACATATTGATTCAATTCATGAGAACAATAAACCAAAAGCACTACTTCTTATTAGGTTTGCAGCTGTATACGTAATCAGCTTTTTTCTTGTTCACCTTCATATTCCCCTTTATTGGAATATGACTTTCCACTAGTTCTCAATGGGTCAAACCGTTAAAATGCTAAAATCACATATAATTCTGGTAAGAATACAGAATACTTCTGTTCAAGTATAGTAGTGCTGCATTTGGTATTACTAAAAGGTGTAATAATTTGTCGGCAAATCTTACAATGAAATAGATCCTCAAAGACATTAAATGAATGAAATAGATCATCAAATACATTAAATGAAATCAAAATGTTTTCAACAACAATGTAGTGCAAGTTGAACCTAATCATTTTTGTTTTGAACCTAAACGTTGTAACTGGATATGTAAATTCAATCAAAACAAAAAATATCAAAGGAATTTCTGATTACCTTTAAATTTTAAGAATATACTCTTTTTTGTTTCATTTTAACCGTCGTTTTAGATTTATTCACACAGATTAAAATATATATTGAATTTTACATATTTTTAAATAAAAGATTGTTATTACCTATAAATCTAATTAGATTTTCAACAAATAAAATTAAATAATATATAAAATTCATAAATTTATATTGAAATCATGAAACAACATCTATTTTAAAACAAAAATTTTATTCTAAAACGATAAATAAATCAAAACGGAAGGAGTAATATTAAACATTAAAAATTAAATTATTTAAGTGAAAATCAAACAAAGTAAAATAAATGCTATTTATTATCCATACTGATATAAAAAGAGAGAAATTTAAATTAATATTATATTTATTTTTGAATATTCAGGTAACACCCCTTTTTTAATTTGACACTAGATTTTGACTCGCGCTTGAAAGCGCGGAAATTTTTTATGATTAAAAATTTATATAATTGGGTTTTGTCTTAGTTTAAAGAATATTTTGATATAAAATCAGTTCACCAAAATTTGTGGTGATGATTATTTTTCATTATTTTTTAGTTTCAGTTTTTATTTTTAGATTTTGGTTTTTGGTTTTTAGTTTTTAAGTTTCTACTTTTCATTTTCAGTTTTTGGTTTGAGTTTTTAATTTTTAAACCCGCCGAGTTAGTTTGAACTAATATTACCAACAAACAAATCTCAATAATGGAACGTCTAATTCAAAACTGAAAAGATGACAAAATTTTTTTTAAAAAATTTGAAATAATTTATTTTATAAATAAACAAAGCAACAAATATAACATGTGTTTTCAGCTATTGGTTTTGGATTTTAATTTTTAGATTTGGTTTTGCTTTACATTTTTTTAATCAGTAAATTATTTAAGAAAAATAAAACAATAAATTATTTAAAAGTTACCATTGAAATTTATCAAAACAAAGTGATTGTTATTTAAAATAAAAAATATATATTAACATGTTTTAAATTACATGATTTAAATAAATGATTAATAATAGATAATTTTGTTTTGTTAAAAATATTAAATACCTTTTGGATCTGAAAATAAAAAATGATTTTTTGATTTTTTAAGGTGAAAAATTTATTCAATGTTTTTAGAGTTTTTTTCTTAATATTAAGTCCAAAAACCGTACTATATAATTTGTTCAAAAAATAAAAGTAAGCCCAAGACTATATTCCATAAATAACCATTGGTTTAATTTAAGTATAATTAGTAGATTTCCATATTCCATATTTTCATGATATATATTCTTTTAGAATATTCCATATTTGTAGGAGAAAATATGTGTTTTCGGTATACACATAGATATCTGCCATATTTTGAAGGTAGTTTACATTAAGGTCGTCTCTTTACATTAATTGTGTTGGTTTAATTTAAGTAATACGGTTCAATCAATTATATGACTTATATTATTTGTAACATTCTAGAAATGGTCCAAATTTAAATGACAACTTGTATCAGTAAATAAAAAAATGACTCTATTTTAATAGAGTAGATACGGTTCAATCAATTATATGACTTATATTAATTGTAACATTCTAGAAAGAGTCCAAATTTAAATGACAACTTGTATGAGTAGATAAAAAAATGATTTTATTTTAGTAGAGTAGATATATACAGTTTAAGAATATAAGAAAATTTTAAAAGAAGAAAATCACATCCATGCAGGGGCTAACGTTCAGTTGACTACCAGCAAATAAAGCAGATAATAAATTCTCCATTAATTACAAATTCATTAAAACCAAAACCCCCCACTCACCTCCTCTCTCTCTCTCTTCTCCCTCTGCAACAAAAAAAAAAAACCCTAAATCTCCTCCGATTTCACCTTCCTCATCTCCATTCCCCCCCCCACACCAAGCCTATTCAACCACAAACCCACTTCTTGATTTTCAGTAATTAGACGATTGATGAAAAAAAAACCCTAAAGATCGAAACTTTTTGTTTATAGCTGTAGAAACAAAAAAACAAAACAAACAATGTACAAGAATCAGCTCCAAGAGCTAGCGCAGAGGAGCTGCTTCGGCCTCCCTTCCTACACTTGCCTAAGGGAAGGTCCAGACCACGCGCCGCGATTCAAGGCCACCGTTAACTTTAACGGCGAGATCTTCGAGAGTCCTCAGTACTGTTCCACTCTCCGTCAAGCTGAGCACTCCGCTGCTGAAGTTGCTCTCGCTGCCCTCTCTAATCGTGGCCCTTCTCACTCTCTTGCCGCTAGGATCTTGGTCAGTGCCTTTTTTTTTTTTTACTCTGTCTTTGATGATGCCTTAATTGGAATCCAAAGTTTGAATCTTGGAGTGGTTATGATTGTGGTGTAGGATGAGACTGGTGTGTATAAGAATCTTTTGCAAGAGATAGCTCAGAGAGTTGGAGCTCCTTTGCCTCGTTACACTACTTTTAGGTCTGGTCTTGGTCACCAGCCTGTGTTTACTGGTTCCGTGGAGTTAGCTGGAATCACGTTCACTGGAGATAGTGCTAAGAATAAGAAGCAAGCGGAGAAGAATGCTGCTATGTCTGCTTGGTCTTCTCTTAAACAATGTGAGTTCTTTTTTTGTCCGCTTTAGTTTCTTTTATGGTTTTTTACTTAAATGGTGAGATTTGTTTTGGTAACAGTGGCGAAAGAAACTTCAAGCTCAATGCCTGAGCCTGAGAATATGGACGAGCTTGAGCAGGTGATAATAGCGAGAGCGTTGATAAACTATCGTATCAAGGAAAATATTGGCATGGGGAGTTCTTCTAATGCGCCGGTTCCATTTGCGAAGAAGTTCTTCATGCAGAACGTTAGAGCGACAAGTCCACAGCCTTCTCCTGCAACCACATCGAGAATCTTACCCTTTATTTCCGCAAAACCTTCCTCTAGAACCTCTAGATCTGTATCAGCAGCATCCGTTGAGAGAGCCATTGCAGCCGCTTTGGAGAATCGCAGCTACAGGCCGCAACAGAGATTCGGTGCAACTCCAGGGACAGCAGCGCCGGCTCCTTATGTTCCCATGAGGCATTTGAGATCACCGTGTAACGGGATGGCTCCACCTGTGACGATTAGGACAGCTGTACCGGTCTTCTCTGCACCTCCACTTCCACCTTGTACAAACACTCAGCAGCAGCAGCGGCCTTCTGTGTATGTGCCATCGATGATGCGCACTGCAGCACCTGTGAGGTTCGCGCCTCCTGTCACGATCAGAACTGCGGTTCCTGTTTTTGCTTGTGCTCCACAGATCAGAAGGGAAGAGCCTTTGCCTGTTAGAAAAGTTAATATGCAGACCTCTGTGAAGCCTGTGGTCCAGGAAAGAGAGGAAAGAGCTCCAATCTTGCCTGATACTCTTGATATCGAGTTAGAAGGCAGTTGTAAACCAGTTTCAGAAACAGCAAAGGAAACCGAGAGAGCAGCAAAAGGAGAACATGAGACGGTAAAAGAGAGACTTGAGAATCTCAAAATCTGGTAGAAATACTTACTATCTCTGGGTTTAGCTTTTTTTTTTGTGAGGTTGGTCTCTAAAAGTGGTGATTAATGAGAAGGATTTGTATTATATTGGGAGTTTTAGGAGGTATGGCTTTGGCTATCTATGGATTCTAGTTTTGTATCTGTTTTCACTTTCTTATTCAATCTGTTTGTGTCCTCTCTTTCTTATGTTGTTTACAGAAGAATCATGCTCCTATGTCTTACACAACTATGACAATCTGCAACCATTTGCATACAATATATAGCTTTAGTAACAATAATCGAAAGTAGTTGAAAGCTATTTAAAGCTACAAGAACTGAAATTTCCTTTCAACCATAGATCACAATCCGACCAATCTTTTGTCAGTGTTTATCAAAACGTAACAAGGCCAGTCTACACAACAATTTCCCAGTTTCCTGGTAATGGGTTTGAAGAATGTTGGATCCAAACCCGAATATAAGAAAAAGCAGTCACTATACACCGTGAAAAAACCCCACAAACTTAACACAGAAATGCATAACTTCTGTCTTTTATCAACGGGATGCGAGGGACCAGAAGTTGAAGAGAAAAGAAGGCAAAGCGGCAAACCAGCTTATGAAGGCTAATGCTGTTGATGTTTCAAACTGAACGCAGTGGTTTTGCGAGCAGCTATTCAGATCATTGTCTATCAGCACCGTTATGCCCGCCGATGCACAAGCCGCTGCAAAAATCAGTGTCGATGTTACCTGAATTTCAGAAAAAAAAAGATTTGATTATTAACAGGGTTTTGATAACCATAATAAGAGGCTTAATGAGTGTGGTAAATCTCTCTCTCTCTCACCCCATCACCAATAGCAAACAAGCTCACAAGTCGACGGTTTTGTAGCGAACGTTTGACCATAATGGCATATATATCAACGGCGGCTAGTGCAAGACTCCACAAGCTCTGCAGGCCAGTAGCTGCAACTAGGTAACTGATTAAAGCAAAAAAAAACAGTAAACCATCTTTAGCAAAATCTAACAGACACCAAAAAATCATACAAATATATAACCCAATATACTATCCATCATGAGCAATTGATTCAACTATCACATTATGTCCAAACCTTAACCCTACTCCAGAAAAATTTGCAACATAGGAACCAAGACAAATCCAACACCTGTCACTAAGGCAAACTTAAGTACTAACCACCAACAGACAAACGATTCTGCAAAACATGATTAGTTACAGTGACCACAAAAGCATGATATAATAAGCTTTAATCAACGTTTAACTTCTCAAAGACAGCTACTCTAATTTCAAATTACCATTATATTACCCCAAATGGAGAAAAGACTGGACAAAAGTATTTAAAAATTCCTAATACAATTTCTTTCAAAAAGTTGTTACATTTGCTTCTGATCAGCCTTAACGATGCTAATAAACTCGCAGCCTTCATAAACCAATCACACTAAGCCACAAACCCTGACACACTTGTTGTGTATTAAAATTTGGAAAATGGAAACACGAAGCAAACGGATTCCAGTTTATGGCCATAGAATTATTGTCACATAAACATAAGAAGCCCTTAAAACACTAATATGCAGATTGTAGAAGAATACAAGAACAATTGTTATTACCAGAAGGCGGTGACGGAAGGGAAATCAGAAGTAGAAGCCATGACGGAAAGAGAAGCAGCAGCGAAGAGGAACTGGAAGAAACGAAGAGCCAGTCCAAGTAGAGTCCCAGGCATCCCTTCTATATCATCCATCCTTACACGTGGCGGATTATTCTCTACTTGTGTCGCTGTTGCTGGTGCCGGATCTTCCACTGGATGCACCGATGCATGACTCACATTCATCTCTTCTTTCTTCTTCCTATCACTGTTCAAATCAATCAATGTTCTCAATAATCGAATCAAGGTCTATATTCCTCGCTTTCCACACAGTTCAGAGATCTAATCGAAGGTCGAGAGAGGCAGATTTGATGGTTTGCAACTAGATTTTGTTCAGGAGAAGCAAAAAACGAGATCTAAGATACAACGAAGAGAGAGCGTAGTAGATCGAAGCGGAGTAAAGAGAGAGTTGTGTGTGTTACCTGGGAGAGAGAATCAAGCAGAGAGGAAGAGATTGCACGAAGTCATGAGAGCCTGGGAATGAGGAAACCCTAAGCTAAGAAGAGAAAGGTTGAGAAGGGAAGGTTTATGCGAGAGTGAGTCATTTGATTAATGGAGGAATATACCCAACTCCACATCAATTTTGCTTAACCAATTAAAACCATTATTGTTAACTAACCCCACCCAGTGACAAAAAAAAAAAAAACAAAAAAACTAACCCCACCTGTGTCTACTTTTTTGGATTAATGTTTTCTGGTTTATTAAATCTGAAATTAGTTATATCCGGGTCCGAGTTCAATTTTTGTGAATATTGACCTTAGTTGGTCACCAGTTATTCAACTAACAAGTATACGATCAAATTAGATAAAAATTTGTACAATTAATTTCAAAACGAAAACATCATTTACAGAGAAGCAAGAATTTATATTTGTTTAACAACGGTCTGACAACTGCGCAGAAACATATTCCGGAAATAAAAAAAATGTGATTAGTATAGAACATGCAATTAACCAGAAATTTATTAATATTTCTATATATAGAGATCTGAACTTTAATTCACAAAAAACAAATTATATAAAATATAAGAGATTTTTTTAAAAACATTTGATGAAACTTTTTTTTAAAAAATATTGATTTAAGTAATAGTAGTTTTCACAATTTATAATAGCATATTTAATCAGTACTAAAAAAATTGAATTATGGTTTAGATCGAATTAATTTTTGTTCACTACTCATTTTTAAATTTGTAATTAATCTATATTAAATAAATCTTGGATTTTGGTTTGGATCGGATTAATTTTCTATCATTAATCAATTTTTATTTTATTTCATAACACAAATATTTGAATGGTAAATGTTTGGTTCTTGCACGGATGCTAAAATCCAAATTCAAATAACTCAAAAAATATAAATACAGACTTAATCCAACATTACTCACACTAAAACGATCTGGAAAACGTAACTGCACCTAAACATCCAACCCAAATTACTATAAGACAACAATATAAATTACTTTTATTTAAAGACGTTAAAATTATAATAGTAAAATAAAAAAAAGTTAGAATAATTCCTAGAATAGAAAAACTAACCAAAAAGTTATCAAAAGAGCATATCAAAATCTATTCTTTCTTTTATTTCACAACACAAATATCTATACTATTATTTGCGAAGTTATTTTTCGCAACGGAGCTCTCACATTAAAAGTTAGAGTGGCTAATATCGATTATACCCTTAATGAAATATATCTATATAATTTATTATATAATTAAAAACGAATTTGATATAATAATATTAGATTTATATGTTTTCTTAGATAATTATAAATTAGTATAATATAATTATCAAAAATAATTTGTTTTTAAAAAAATAAGATAACTCTTATATATTGTATTTTTTTCTGGAAATAATATTGTAACAACATGATAATTCTTTTATATCATTCTTAATGGATAGTTAGATTTATTATTAGATTATATTATTGATTAAAAATTAAGAAAATAAAATTTAGCCAAAAAAAAATGAAATAAAAATTTATTTTATTAGATAAGTAATTTAAAACTGATATTTATACTACTATCCAAAAAAAATAAAAATGTATTTTAATACAAAGTCTTTATGTATGATCAGAGACTTTGTATATATAAAGATTCTTTCATTCAATTTATTATTAAATATTTTAAATGTATAAACAATAATTTATTTTATAATAACTGATATTATATATTTATAAATATTTGTATAACTATTAAGCCCGCATATGCGGGCAAAACACCTAGTTTGAATGGTAACAAAAGAGGATGAAAGGGGGTTAGTTAGTTAAACCTACAACTAAACTATAATTAATCATGGATTTATTTGCATCGGATTCCCAAAATAATGTATGTTATTATATTAATTAAAACCTTTATTTGCAAGACAGACAGCGTAGATATTTGGAAAAAGGGAGAATCAAATAATAAAATCAGGAGAAACTCCGATGCCCCCCCCCCCCATTCTCTCTCTAGATCTCCATTGACTACTCATCGATTGATTTTACACAGCTCTAACTGATTCCTCTGGGTTCGTTTTCTAACTAACCGTCAACAATGTTCTGGAAGCTTGCCTCTCTCTCCGCTTCCTCTCCTGTGAGTTCCTTTCTCAGATCCCTTTTCTTCCTCCTCATTGATTTGTCTTCTGCGATCTCACGCTGAATTCGATTATAAGTAGTTTTGGAATGGTTCGTCATTGTCATCGTGAGATAGGATTAGCGGAAGGTTTATCTGGGATTCGTATGAGATTTATCGTTTGAACACTTTTTTTTGATGAGTGGATGTATTTATTAATTTTTATTCAATTTTTGTTATATCAATTAATAGGTGGATTCGATACTAGACAAGGAGAATTACACATTGGAAGAGCTTCTTGACGAGGAAGAAATCATTCAAGAATGCAAAGCTCTGAATAGCCGTCTCATTCATTTGTATATATGACTCTCTTCATCTTTTTGCTTTTTTTTTTTTTTTTAATTTTCTTGGAGAGGTTTTTGATTGCTTGTGTGTGTTTGTAGTTTAAAGGTTAAAACTCGAGTGGAGCAACTGTTGCGGTATGTTGTTGAAGAACCTGAGGAGGACGATCCTGATTCCAAACGTGCTTTCAAGTATTACCTCCTTCCATGGCCCTTTTTTAATTTTTCTTGGCAATACTTTTTTTATTTCTAGGTATTAATGTATTCTTCTTATCTTTAGGTATCCATTCGTTTCTTGTGAGATATTCACATGTGAGATTGATGTTATTCTCAAGACTTTGGTGGAGGACGACCAGGTTTTTCTTTTTATTCATTTTTTTATTCATCGTGTTATGTATATTAGCTAATCTCGTTTGTTGGGTCTACGATTATCCTGTAGCTGATGGATTTGCTATTCTCCTTTTTGGAACCGAGTCGTCCTCATAGTGCGTTGCTGGCTGGCTATTTTGGCAAGGTCTCTTTTTACTAATAACAAGTATGTGTTTTAAGGTCTGTCCGATGTGTTCTTACGTCTCTTTTCTCATTGATATAGGTTGTCATATGCCTTATGATTAGAAAGACTGAAGCACTTATGAACTATATCAAAGTAAGTAATGCCGCTTTATCTTAAAATGCATCACTGTGTATCTTGTAAATATCTTATTTCCACATCTACGGTGGGACTCAATTTAACTTCCACTTGATCCAACGATTCATCTTGATTACATTATCGAACTGTGGATTGCTTTAGAGATCTTTTCACCGGCTGTGTTTTTCTAAGAAGTTGCTTTTGATGGCTTCAGGTGCATCAAAATGTGTTTAGCCAATTAGTTGATTTAATTGGAATAACATCCATTATGGAGGTAAATTGTTGTCTCAGAACCCTTTGCAACTTGGTGTGACTTCATTGCTCATCTTTACAAATAAACTTCTTGTGACGTTGCGTAGGTTTTGGTTCGCTTGGTTGGAGCCGACGATCACGTCTATCCCAATTTTCCTGATGTGATGCAATACTTGGCTGATAGCAACTTACTAGAAATGATTGTGGACAAACTAAATCAATCAGTAAGTAATAAAACTTCAGGCTGTTCCTTAAGAAAAAGAGACTTGACCCTTTTTTTTATAAAGTCGGTGGGCTAAAATTTATTATAGTGAGAGGCTGCCAAATGAAAAAGCGGTTTGTTGGGATTTATCATTGATAATATTGTCGTTACTACAGCGTTTTTATGTTTCCGTTTTCTTACAACCTTCTGTAACTTAAATCAGAGTCCACCTGAGGTTCAGGCAAATGCAGCAGAAACATTATGTGCAATTACTCGAAATGCACCTTCAGCTCTAGCTACAAAACTCTCTAGCCCTAGGTTTGTCATCTTTGCTTCCATATTTGAGTTTCACTGATTTGAGGTTCTGCGGATATATGCTATAGTCTGACATGGTAAAATTTTTATCTTCTTTTGCAGCTTCGTTTCAAGGATATTTGGTCATGCTACAGAAGATTCACATTCAAAATCTGGCATTGTTCATTCACTTACTGTGTGTATCTCTCTCTTAGATTCAAGGAGATCTGCTGCTTCATCGTATTTCTTCAATTCTTTTAGAGGTCAACATATGTTTGAATCCCCCGCTCCAGTGTCCCAGGAGACTATTGGTGCTATGCTACCAAAGCTCGGTAACTTGGTTTCCCATGCTACCAAATCCTTTTGTTTTCTTCTTCTTTTGTTATAACATGGGACTAGATGTACAGGAAGTAATCATATGGACAACGCTCAGCTTCTTGTTATTATTTGTCTAGTTTCTGATTACTCATATCTCAGTTGTATTCTACTGGCTCTGTTACATTTTGGTTTAGATAATGGGATATGGAAGTTCATTAATACCATGGTTGTTGGGATTCCTTCCTACACTATGTTTGATATGTAGGATTTATGTCTTGCAAGTTTTGTCGAATTAAGGTTTGTCTCTTCATTGCCCTCATATGAACAAGATTTTATGTCTTCTGCTGCAGGTGACATGCTTATGCTTCTCAGTGTAACGTCCGATAGCAAAGTATTACCTACAACGTATGGAGAGCTGAGACCGCCTCTTGGAAAGCATCGTCTGAAGGTCAGATCCTAAATATAAGCATTGTCGAGAAGGAACTGTTGGCTTTTTGGATGGGTTTTTGTGGTTTTCATATGTGAATCACAATGTGCTGAACGAGATTTACTTTACTTTACAGATTGTAGAATTCATTGCGGTTTTGTTGAAATCTGGAAATGAAGCT